GGCACCACCTCTTGTCGGTCGCAACTCGTTACACCGCCTTCCGTTGCGGCACTGTTGCTCGTCACCGGTGGTCAGTCGAAGCTCGCTCCACTATTTCGCCAGTCTCTCTTCCACTGGCCTCCATCGCAGTATCCTCCTTGAAAATCTGTCTGACCCGGTGAAGGATAGGGCCGAGGGTCCTACCCTTTCCCTCCTGTCGCAGCACCTGTCTGACCTTCGTTGTGCATCTAAAACATCAGGGGGCTTGAATGTTTTCATTTTGACCAAGTCAAAGTGAGTGGGTGGGTCAATTATTTTCCAACCCTACGTCCCAACGACGCAGTGTCATCAAGATATGCCAACAAAAGCTAAATACTTCAAAATTACCTCCTAACAATTAATATGTGAAAATATTGATAAAAAATTATTACAAAAAATCATAAATGAAATATTTTAATAATATAGCATCAAACTTCAATCTCGAGGGGTGAGTCATCCGTGAAAAGATCTGTAAATAGCGTTTAGCGGATCCCAGCTACGAACTTGGGTGACGAGTTGAGCTAGATTATTAATTTATTATCATTATTTTTTAAATAGTGTGTATTTTTTGACATTGAAAAAATGGACTTATGAAATTCCGAGCACTCGCGTACACAGGGCGAGCACACACACTCGCGCCACCGGGTCACGTCAAACGAGTGTGGATAGTAAGCTCCCAATCCAAATGTTATCTAATGCATACTTTAGTTTCTATGTTTTGTATGAGTTATGTGTGCCCTCTAGCTATCGGAAATGAACTGCAATCCCTCAGCGGTAGGTTCAGTCCTTTATGCGTGCCACGCTCCAACTGAGCATAGAAACCTAGCTTGAGTTGCAGCTTGGAAATTTGAGGCAACTTGATTTAGGCCCCAATCCACAAGCAAATTATAAGCTCAAGAAATTATAACAATTTTATATGAATGCATAGGTGCAACTATATGATGACATCATACCGGCCACTTAACCGTCTCTCATTGTCATCTTTATTTGATGGCTTGGACTTCTTATTGACCTCTCGGCCACACGTCTCGGTCACTTTATTTGATGACACGGACATCATATTATGGACGGTCACTCAACCTATCTCTTAGTCATCTTTATTTGATGACTAGAACTACTTATCATGCCGAGCTACTCACATCTAGAGACTGGTCTCGGCCATCCCCTCAGGAGACGGACACCGTTGCAGCTCCACACCTAGGTCGAAGGGCTCACCCCTTTTGCTTCATTTTGGGGGCATCCGGTGTACTCTTTTTCCCTCATTAGAATTTTTTCCCACAGGGTTTTTTCTTAATGAGGTTTTTAACGAGGCATCTCCCCATTGTGGATCAAAAGGTGTCGGCCCTCGGCCCCCTGTTGAAGACATCACGTGACACGCATTACTCTACTTGTCTTCACCTCACTACATTCACCTCAAGGAGTGGGGGACTGGAAGAGCGGGGGACTTAGCGCCTCCGATCCGTTAACCAAAGAAGCAGAAATTCAAATTTTTTCACGAAGTTTACTAATCAGACGATAGATCAGCACACAGTTCTATTCCCTTTCGCCTCGAGTACTCTCGACTCAGGGAGTGGGAGACTCCTGATGGAGTATATAGACTCGGACCCCCGGGTCTCACGACTATTGGGCCCGGACAGCGGCCCACGTACACTCAGCTGATAGCATTTTCATTATTGTACATTATTATTATTATTCAGGTGTTCTAGATTAGTCTTTTATATTATCAGTCCATTTATGTAACCGGGTCTGTCAGGCCCATATTAGAGGCCCAGGCCCGGATATTATTCTATATACACCCCGTTAGGGAGTTCTTGTAAACCTAATTTACAACTCATTCATACATTACTATTCATTCATCTTCTTCCTCACATTAGCTCAAATCTCTTCATTTTATTATAGTTTGGATACCCCTATAATCCATCATATATATATGCATTTGTTTTAATAACAACAATTATTTATTTATGACCAAAATAAAGATATTTTACAAAAATTTGACCTTTAAGTGTATGAGTGTATTGATTATGTACACTTAAGAGGTCACATTTTTGTAAAGTATCTTTATTTTAGTCATAAATATGTGATTGTTTTTTTAAATAAATGCATATATATACTTAAAATTTTGAGCTTAATATTTAAAAAATACGAAGTATAATTTTGGTCATAGTAATATACTACTACCTCCGTCCCCCTAAAATGGGGACAAATGAGAGATGCGGTTTTTAGGAAATGCAGAGTTATGTGGTATAGACGGTAATGAATTGATAAAATGAGAATAAACTAAGAATGAATTAGAGTCACACCAATACTATCAAATATGGTATGTTATTTTTTACGCTTATTTTCTACTCATAGTTACAAGGTTTTTAGGAATGAATGGTACTCTTGAATATTATGTTTCAACTAAAGGTACTTGAAAAGAAATACCTTCATTTGGAAAATATGCTTATAAATACCCTTAGATGGAAAATAAAATCAAGAATACATATTCTCTGGAAAAAAATTCTCATAGTAACATTACTCATATTTTTATAAAATATGTAAAAGTAAATGCTAAAGAAGAGGAATGACTGAAAGACTAACAAAAATCAGCCCAATAAAACATGAACGATTCTTTAATTTCCTAGTTGCTTTTGAATGATCGAGATAGTAGAATTGGGAGTGTTCTTTTATTTCTTCGTAATATAAGAGTTGGGGGCGCTACTAATTATAATTGGGGGCAGTGGAGGAGCAAGGGGGGGGGCAAGCGCCCCCGCTCCGACTAATTTTTTTTACTAGTATTACTTATAATATGTTTCTTGCACCGGTTTCTTTTTTAATTTTAAAAACAATAAGTACAACTTAAGGTTATTTTAAGATGAAGTGTAATACATTTAATCCGGAGTAATGTATGTAATACATTTGGCATCCCAATTTGCCAATAATCCGGAGTAGCTCTGTGGAGACAGGTAACACGCTCCCTTCGTATCACCCGTGTTCGAATCCCCCCAGGACGGATTAAGTTAAACTTGTTTTGCTTTTCTTCCGCCCCAATTCTTCCAATTTTATTTTCTTCAGCCTACAACTCGTCCCACACCGGATGAAATAGAGGATTCACTCCTCATTTGAGCCTATATAATCGCTCCTTCATAGTTGATAAAGATTAAGTTGCTAGTAAAGCTTGAGTGCAAGTATTAGCTACAATATAAACAAATATTGAATACCCATTTGGTTTTTGTGAAAAAACCGAATAACTGGACTGAAAATTCGGTGTCCGAAAAATTGGGTCCCAACTTAGATCGGTTCGGTTTCGGGTTATAGAATATACGAAACCGAAAGATCGGTTCGGTTCGGATATTTCCTATTTCGGTTCGGTTCCCGAACCGAATCCAGCCCTAGTTCTCACTTCTCCCCATTTGTTCTCAGATTCTGCAATTTTCAAGTAAGTTTCTCATCGTTCTAGACGCGTTCGCCATCCGGTAACAAATTATCATCACTTTCGAGCTGATATTTTTTATCAGGTATTTTTTATTAAAATTTAAATTATTTATTAGTTGTTATTATTATTATTATCATTATTATTATTACTATTGCTACTACTTTTTATTATTACCTTATTGTAGGTTATAGACCAGGTCAATCTGGAAATGGAGAATCGCTTTAGTGAGTCAAATGCAGATTTACTCGCTTGTTTAGCTTGCCTTGATCCTAAAGATAATTTTTCCAATTTCTGTGAATCAAAGCTACTCAGTCTTGCGGAGTTATATTCATCTGATTTTTCAGCTGTTGAGTAAATGGAGCTTAAAGAACAACTCCAAGTTTGGATATATGAGATGAGAGGAAATGAAGCATTTTCCACTTTACAAAGTATTGGTGAAGTGTCTAAGAAGATGGTTGAGCTTACAATTCACAAATCTTTTCACTTGATCTATCGTCTTATTGAGTTGGCTCTAGTGTTACCAGTTGCAACAGCCACAGTTGAAAGAGCTTTCTCATCGATGAATATTATCAAGACAGATCTTCGCAATAAGATGGGAGATGACTATCTTACAGATTGCTTAGTATGCTACATCGAAAGAGACATTTTTCAAGCAATTGATAATGAAGCTATTATGCAGCATTTTCAAAATATGAAAACTCGTAGGATTGATTTGCTTAGGTTGCAGAAGTAAATCAAGTAGTATGTAATGAACTATAATTTTTTGTTAAATTATTACGCTATTGTTGTTCTTATTATATTTTGGACACGAACTTTAAAATTTTTAATCTTTGGTTTGCCCCTCCTTGGACAAACCTCTGGCTCCGCCACTGATTGGGGGCACTCCTACTTTTTAATTGGGGCACTTCCACTTTTTATATTAAAATATAATTTGGTAACACTAAAAATTCACATTCATCAATATGTACATCCGCCCCTGCTTGCCACGAGCTCCCAAGTCGTTGAGCTCCGATAAGTAAAACTAGAGAAACAACAAACTAGGGAGAAGAAAGAAGGAAATAAGAAACAAACGAAAAGTTCACCACATGTTGCCACATGTCGCCATGTGTCGCAAGAAGCTTATTCACCTCATTTTTAATGGTTCATGAGTTTAATTAGCCAATTGAGTGCTTTTTAAGTTCGCACTATTTGAGCATTTTCCCAAAAAAAAGTAACGCGAACTGAGTCGGGAACCAAGATGGGACAGACAAGGTACCTGGAACTAGTCAAGACCCGGAACTGAGCAGGTCAGACCCAAGCTTCAACAATTCTTGTGGGACCAGACAGTCTCAACCCAGAACTGGGACCGGACTAGCCCAAAATTGGGACCGGACCAACTTGGGTCCATCCCTACTAGTAGTTGGACGAAATTGTTTTGATGCCTGCTTCGGGGTTATAAGAAAAAAATTGGCAAGCTAGCAGCTCAACAAACTTTTTAGCTACCTGCTTTCGAGTTATTATGTGCTTCATCCATTCGTTTTTAGTTGCAATGGTCAACCTTTACACATTTGCCAACACACACACATTTGACAGTAAATATATCTTATTTTCTATGAGTAAAAAAATAAAAATCAGATTTTGAAAATTTGTACTGAGTCAAATTGAACAATATTTTAACCAATAAGCCTAGTATGCAAAACATAGCAGGCCCAATATATTGAATTGAGGCGAATCATCTAATGCGTGCAAAGGCAGCTAAAGAAAAATGAGAACACAAAACAAGCGAAGAGATTACCCAATCCACTCACAGTGGAGTGCCTACATGGCTACATATTATGACGATGGCAACAGTAAAAGCCATGATTGAGGATTTGAGGCAATTAACTACGGGGCATACAATATATCTGTCTGTAATATATCCCATATCAACCCTTCAAAACTTCATCCGCTTACTTCTAACTTTCCTAAGTTTCCTTCCTTCTTTGCATTCTTCTTTGGAGCGGTTACACCTAGTTGCTGCTGCTCTGCCTTCTTTTGTGCACAAATATGACACGTCTTGCACGAGACCACACTTCTCGCACTTTACAAGGAGGCATAATATAGGGCTCCAAGGGTCTATCAACAAATGGGTGTTCATCACCAGCAAATATCCTAAGCTTGCGGCCTCTGTCCTGTATTATTTAGAAGTCAAAGGTCAGATTTGGCATTCTGAATTCCGGATCTGACAACAGTACTCCAAAATCAGTACATGAACCCACAATAGTCCTGCCTTCGAATAATGTTTTTACCAATCCGAAGCATAAAAGTCATAGAAAACCTGCTACAGGCGGCATACAAATCACTGTAAAGAAAAAGGGATAAGGGTACAGAAACCCAGACAGAAATAGACTGAACAAATGAACAAAATTGGCATAAAAATCCTTGTTGGACCACATAAACCAAGTTACAAGCATTGTGTACTTACATAAGCATTATGTACTTGCATCACGTAATAAACCAAGTGTGCCTTACAGATAACTTCAGTTGGAACTTTTTCCATCTGATCCTTCAAACTTATTTCCTTTAGGTCACCCACATATCTATAATGTAAACAAGAAATAATTAAGAAGCAATTCATCATCGGTACCAAAAGGCTTAAAATTTTGCCCAGCTAGCAGGGTAACAATGTACCAAAAAGCCCACCAAATTCAAGTCAAGTCTATTATAACAATGTAACAATGTGCCATCGATAAAATTTAGCAATGAGTTTTCTCCTAGTCATACCACTGTCCTTAGCATTCAGGACAATGCACATATCTCCATCATCACAATTAGGGGTGCATGTTTGATATTCATGTAATTTCCGATTGTATGTTTGTATTTTTAACTAGTTTTTATTATTTCTAGTTGAGGAAATTACACACTTTTGGTGTAATACTTTATTTTCATATTTATTTGAAATTTGTTTAGATTAGGACATTTCTGAGCTAAACAGGTCAAAGATCATCCAAGGGATCAAGATTGGACCTTAAGATCAAGGGAAGTGCAAGGAGACAAGAAAGATTTCGATTTAGAAAAAATACTCATGTACCCGGTCGGGTATTGCCTATACCCGATCGGGTATTTGCTTGATTCGATTGTCCAAATCAAATCCGGGAACAAATTATCGTGGGAGCAAATTTTCGTAAAGATTCGTCACATACCCGATCGGGTATGCCGGTCGACACCCGATCGGGTATGCCCAGAAAAGTGAATTTCTGGGAAATTTCCTAAGATACCCGGTCAGGCTTATTGGTTATTTTATTGTGAAGGAAAGGGGTGCATTTATAGGCTTTTGGGAGCTGCAGGATCTGATACCTGACCGGGTATTTGCTAGTTGATCCTTTAAGTAATGTTCAAAATATTAATATGAAATTTGAATAGGAATTAATTAATATTCAAGGAAGAATATTATTAAAGAAGATGAATCCTACTATAATTAATATCAAGATGTTAACTAATTGTCATCTTAGCAACACTCCCTAACATTAATATAGAGGAAGAAAATACCATTCTAACTAATGTCGAGATGTTAACTAATTGTCATCTTAGCAACACTCCCCAACATTAATATAGAGATGGTATTAAGGAAAGAACCATTAATTAATATTCAAGGAAAGAAGTTAAGAAAATAACTCACAACTTTAATAATCAACAAGCTTCAAGAGAACACCAAGTAAGTAACTTCGGTTTATTAATGCACGGTCGTGAATAAACTTAAGAGGGATTAATTTTGTTGGTTAAACCGAAGCCGTTGTGTTGAGGTTATCAATCCCAATTGATTTCATCAAGAAGTTAGAAAGATTAAATGCTACTATTAAATCGGTATAAGGCGTTGTTTTATATTTGATTAATAGTAAGGGTTATTAATGAACGGTCGTTGTTAATAACTACCCTCGATGAAGTGGATATACTCCCCGATTGAGTATTCGAGAGGGAATAAGTTATAGATATAACAATGATCGACTAAAATATATCAACAAGTGGAAAGTAGCAATGTCAAGTCCTTTTTATCTTTGAATTAAATCTCATATAGATCGTTCATCTTAGTTTTTAATTTAATTAAATCATTCATCACCAAAAACCCCCTTTATTTACTAAGTTTCATAAAAAGAGAATTATTCCTTTCCCTGTGGATACGAACTCTACTACGCTATACTACGTATAAGTGTTAGTATTGAAAGGAGAAGGATTATGAGAGAAACCTTTTGGTACCTGGCTCAGGGTGGGGGTGAAAAAATAGGCTAACATGATATAACAAATGGCTGGTTCCGGAAGGAGGTACATCGGCAGGATTAGGTTTAAAACAGTAAGGATAGAATCACGATCGGGAAAGGGGAAAGATGGCGATGTGGAGGAAGGTGGTCGGGACTGGCTAGTCACTTTGAGGCATGCTGAGGGGGAGCGTAGGAATCACGGGAGCGGATGTTGATTCTGCAGATCAGAAAAGGCGCTTGTGAGAGGCACAGGATATCACCAAGTAGGGAGGAGACGGGGTGGCTCTAGATAAGCCAAAAAAATGGGGAAGAGGCGGGTTCTGGTTTTCAAGCACGCCTAGGACTCTGGTTTTTTTTTTCTATCTTCAGGAAGGAAGACTGTAGTTTTTGTGGTTCTGGAGGGTAGAAGCAGTTAAATTCTACTAGTTACTATTTAAGTTTTGTTTTTTGGACTCGTTAGATTGTTTTTTTTTTGTCTGTGATTTTTTTATTTTCATCAGACTCTTGAGTTTAGTTCGAGTGATGAGCGATCCGTTAAAACCGTATTTGGCTTAGGTTTGCCCATTACATCATCGGCGAGTCATATTGCTTTTTGGAAGGTGACTCTCTGAGTCTGTTTCGAGATTTGGTGGTTGGGAATGATTTTTTTATCAGTTTATTACCCAACTTAACTTTGACTATTCAATATAAGTCACATTCTTCCACACAAAAATGTAGAACTATATTTCAATTTGGATAAAGAAGGAACACATTAAGAATGAAAGGACTAACCAATCTGTCATACAAATATGAAAAATAAAACTCAAATCTTATCCCCACCTTCACAACCCTCCTGAGTCCTGACACAACCCGGCCCACTCGTGCACCGCCCCCTCCATCGTTGGTCGTTGGCGTCATCGCAACATCACATGAATGTTGTCGTCTCAGCATCCTACGTTGTATTCATCGACGACATACTCCATCGCTTGATACGTCGTTTCACTTCTTCTTTCTCCTTTTATTTTCTCCATCTGCCTGAACGAATGAGATGATACCATCAAGGGAGGCGATAACGGTGACAACTAACAACAATGTCAAAGATGTCACAATATCAAAGACAACCATATTTATAGTGAGGACAGGGTTCGGCAATGATTTGTTTTACCAAGAAGCAGTTAAGGTTTCAGATCGGGGCGAGCGCAACGACTATGGTTTGAAACCAGTGACAATATCGGCAAATAGGGTTACACAACGATTGTGGTGTAATGACTAGGATTAGATGTTCGACAATGGATCGATTGCTTTGTTGGGATCATGCTTTCAGGCAGTAGGAAGAGTAGAATGTGATAGAGGAGGCCACCAGTGGCGGCGAGGGTAGGGGTCACTGGGTGTTGGGCAGTGGGTCGCTGGGCATGGAGGGTGACTAGGTGTGGATGGGTCATTGGGGCGGACCGGGCGGTCAGTGTGCTCACTACCTATTGTTGTCCTACAAAAGGCGTTAAACTAACATTTTTCAAATGTATTGAGTATTGAACTAAGGTTATCCAATACTCAAGGAATAATCTTATTGTGGACTGTGGGTATGTAAAGCTTTATGAAAACCCAGTTATTTTGCAATTTAGATTAGGAACCAATAAAACAACAATAACATCTGAGCCTTATTCCCAAAAGATTTTGGGGTTGGCTAACATGAATCGACCCTTGATATATTAGAAACTAATAATACTAAAAAACTGGAGATTCATAAGGGAAAAATATTTTTTAGCAGATTCTTATCTAAAGGCTAAGCTTATTTATCTAGGTTAGAACGAAGGTATGACGGAATGCTCTAAAGAAGTACAAAGACAAAAATCCATAGTTGTTTATATATGTTTTTCTAACAGAACAATTTTTTTAATCTAATATTAATTTACCATTCGACTGATGTGTAGTGTTGGCCAGATCTGAGGAAGAATATTATCTTTTTCCTCGAGATCATTATCAGCCTTACTTGCATCCACAGGTTTACTAATCAAATGATCAAATAGCAAATTAACTGTTAGATCCTCAAAGTATTTCATTTCCTCTTTCCAATTAATCCTTTTGAAGTATGATGTGTTTCCTTACATCCACATTTTTAATACACTCAAGAGAGGGACTCCTCAAGAGAGGCAGAAAACATTTATAAATAGTCAAATGAGCTTTATAGAATAACCAAGTTGACATTCAAGAATAACCAGCATACTGTCCCAAAGAAAATTTAACTATTAAAGATCATCATAAATATAAGAAGACTAAAAACACTCCAGTGGCTTGAAAGTTTATCTCAAATTACATTAGTAAACCCCATACAGGATGTAGACAGTAAACACTATTGAACATTACAAAAAGAAACAGGGTAAAACTTAGTTAGCACATTAGTTAGTTTGTTCTTGTCATATTTTCCCACTAAAACCTCAAGCATATAGATAATGTTTAACATATTTGCAAGTAAAGCTATTCTTAAATATAGGTTGTGAGAAACTAACCTATAAATCTACTACTAATTAATTTAGTTCTAGAGTCTCTGCTTACCTTTCTACAGTCTGGAGTTCAAATCTACATTCTGATCTATGTAGATGATATCTTGGTCATTGGGAATAATCACACTGCTATTCAACAACTCATTCATAAGCTCCATTCATCCTTTTCTTTGAAACACTTGGGGGAAATTGACTTCTTTCTAGGTATTGAAGTCAGGAGACAAAGTAATGGGAGCTTACATTTATCTCAAACCAAATACAACAGAGATCTTCTACACAAAGCTGGAATGCTTGAATCCAAAGGAGTCAAAACTCCTATGGTTAGTAACTGCAAACTCACCAACACAGGTAGTAATCCTCTACTTGACCCTTCTACCTACAGTTCAATTGTTGGGGCCTTACAGTATGCAACTCTCACACGGCCAGAAATTAGCTTTGCAGTTAATAAAGTTTGTCAATTCATGGTCACACCTGTACAGGATCATTGGCAAGTTGTCAAACACATTCTTAGATATATCTCTCTCTGGTACCATAACCCATGGTATCATTATCAAACCCTTGCCCCTTGCCACTATTCCTTTGCCAATCTCAGCCTTTTGTGATGCTGATTGGGCATCTGATCATGTTGATAGAAGGTCCACTTCTGGATCCTGCATTTTCCTTGGTCCAAACATTATTTCCTGGTGGTCAAAGAAGAAGGTGAGGGTTGCAAGGTCTTCGGCAGAAGCTGCGTATAGAAGCTTGGCTGACACAGTTGCTGAACTTTTATGGATCCAATCTCTGCTTAAGGAACTTCAAGTTCCTTTCACTATTCCCAAAGTTTACTGTGACAACCTTAGCACAGTACAACTTGCACATAATCCAGTACTTCATTCTCGCATCAAACACATGGAGATTGACCTATTCTTTGTCAGGGAACAAGTTCAGTCTAAACAGCTTGAAGTATACCACATTCCAGAGCCATTGACTGCCTCATCCTTCCTTGAGCTCAAGACCAAACTTAGTGTGATTGATGTTCCACATCAATCACCCTAAATTTGTGAGGGGAATGTTAGAGATACTATATCTATGAATAATCTAATAAGCCTAGTATTCAGTTAGCCAGTTATAGTTAGTCAAGCTGTTTAGATTCAGTTACAAGTTTGTTATACCACTTCTCTATAAATACTGATGTACTGGTATTATGTGATTAATAATAAAATCCTTCTACTTCATTTTATACTCTGGCTACTTTTCTAATATGGAAGAATATTCTCAATTGTTTGAGAGGAGCATATCCATTAATTAAGGTACTACGATTAGTGAATTCAGATGAAAAGCCGGTTATGGGATTTATTTATGAGGAAATGGATAAAGCGAAAGAGAACATTCAGAAGGCTTTCAAAAATACTTCAAGGAGATAAATAAACAAATTACTTAACATTTTTTTAGTTTATGATCTATTAATTACATGCTATAAAAACCCTTTAAAAAAACTAACGATTACTTTTTTTAGCTACATTCTTTTGTGGGATATCATCGACGAAAGGTGGGACAAGCAGTTGCATAGACCATTGCATGCAGCAAGATATTATCTTAATCTCATGTTGCATTATGGCGGTGGCAGGTGGCATAGTACAGGGTGATATGTACACCAAGGCAAAAACTGTGAAATAGTGAAAACAGACCTACAGTGACAGGGATAAGTTCACAAGATAGACCAACAAAGCAGAGGTTAAGACAGAGACGGAGAAAAGAGGAAAAGAAGGAGGCCAGTGTTCGAGGTAAAACCGTAAAACACAATCGAGAAAAGAGAAGAGACAAAGGGTTGAATGACGAATGAACGGACGCGGGCTGACTTGGTGAACTGTTGGAGCATTTGCAGGGAGAAGGGCGTAGAAATGGTAAAACTTGATCCCCGGGAGTAGGTTTTATGGTTTGCCATTTGCGGCAGTGTCCAAAACGCACATTTTGAAGAGAAACATGTTTCACAGTTTAACAAATTACTGGATGGATCCGAAACTCATTTCCGTCATTTCCACATATTTCAAACATTAAAGTGTTTCTGAAACAGGCAAACCCATCCCTCAGAGCAGTATTGTGCATCCTACATAGTAGGTAGAGAATATAAAAGTATATATAGATGATTCAAATATAACTGTGCATGAAGATATCTGTTATCCATTTGGAAAAATCCTTTGTACACCTTTCGTAACAGCCCCCTATTTTGCATGTGATTCTTCTAAAAAACACATAATTTTCTGAAACTGTTTGGGAGTTGTCTGTGTGGCGTGTAAAAAATGGGCGTGTACACGAAGAACGGTTATACTCATTTATGGTACTAAATCTCTGAGAGATGTAAAAGAAATGTGAACAGAAGTTATAAACTGATAATGCTGACCTCGAGTTACTTCTCTGTCCATCTCATAATGTAGGATACATTTGAATTCAATATGCTCTTTAAGAAAATAAGGATGTTAGAGGTTTTGCAATATATTTTTTTTTTCAAAAATACAGGGCCCACTCAGCGAAAAGGTCAAGGTTAGCTGAAAGGGTAACTGGAAAAGTTTGGGGCCTCTGAGCATAATATCAGGACAGGAAAAACGGAAGTGTATTAAAGTATTTAATGAAATGGAATGGAGTATATGGTACAGACAAAATTCATTCAATTAAAATAACATTGTTGATTTTCTACGTATAAAGTCAAATAAAAAAGATCATCAGATGATGCTATTGAATACAAAGTAAGGAAGAACAGGTTGTGTAGGTTCAGGGACGTTGGTCGTGGAGGGTAGGTTCACCAGTATGGAGGGTGGAGTCTTGGAGTGTGGAAGACTTATGAAGAGGTCGGTACAGATCGATAATGACTTGGATTGAATGGGTATGGAGAGACACCAAGGTGTTGGGGCTTGATGAATACATAGCACACTAGCTGGAAATATTTAATTAAATCAAAACTTACAGAATACCAACAATATAAAGTTATACTTTTAAATAGATATCAAGTTAGATAGATGGGTTGATAGATGACAGAATAGAAAGGAGATAGAGGATTCGAGTGGATGACCTCCGTGTGTATTCTATTGGTCCATGTAGGTGACACCATTACTGAATTAGGATTACGGGTTGGTTTTTATTATAGTTATTTGTGTATTTAAAGCATGCATACTTATTTTTTAAATGTGTATGTGGTCATGATAATAAGTCAACATACCAAGATAATTGTTCATGAATTTAGGTGATTGAAGCTGATTTCCTAGTTGGTCAGATATTGAGAGCTTCCACCGATCAAGAACAGTGACTGCAGCTTGTTCTATGTCACGCAAAAGTGGACAAAGGCCACCTTGTCTCTCAACTGAACCCAAGCCACCACCCCAAGAAAGAACTCTAGCCAGATCATTTCCTGTCCCAGCTGGAAGTATTGCCATTGGTGGGGGTGAAACAAAGTCTTGCTTGTCTATGGCATTTAAAACCCAGCCCACTGTACCATCACCTCCACAAACTAGAATTCTGAAGTGTGGTACCTTTCTGAACAAAAAGAGGCCAGCTTCTGGCCCTTGGGTTGAGCTCAACTCAAACACCTAACCAACGAAAGTTATGCAATATGTATGGCAATGTCAGCAGTAAGAACTAGTAGACAGGCACTTAAGCACTAAGCAGCTGAAAGAGACTGAATCAATCTACAAATAAGTTAAGGCTTCATGATGTTTAAATTGGATGGTTCTGTACAATCATAATAGACATCAGAGAAGAAATTGGCCCCTACACGTCCTTTGTTTAAAAATTTATTTAAATGTCAACTGGATCAAACACACTATTGCCATGGACACACAGCAAAAGTACACTGAATAATATTTTATTCCATATTTGTTTTCCATTAACACTTCCTTTATTCAAATTGTAGGTTACATAGTATCCTACTATCCTGCATATACAGAGAAAGAGATTCAGTTGAGACCAATATATATGAGATATCTGACCTGTACAGGATTTAGAAGGACACTTAATCGTCGTCTAAGTGAATCCCCTCGTTGTGCCCCACTTTTCTTGTTAATGAAAGCTAGCAGAGGTCGAACATCTGAAGGCATATCAGTCACCTCATATCTCAATTTTATCTCTATAGGTTGAGTATCATCCTTTTGATTAGCAGATGGACTTTTCTTAAATTTGGCCTTGGGTTCCAAAATCTTAACTTCTTTATCACTCTCCTTGTCAACACTTTCTGAATGTATACCACCATTACAGTTCTCCTCAATCATATGGGATCCATTTACTGCTTGATTTGTATCAGCAGTGGATTCAGTTGATAGATCACCAGCAGAATAATCATTCCCTGTTTCTGCTGAGATCTCAGCTAAGTGCTTATCATTTTTATGCTTGTACTTCTTGCTTTGACTTCTAATAATTGTAGCACGGACAGAGGATGCAAATCCATTGGCACCATGAGTGATAGAGCTTAGCAATCCACTCGAAGAAGTCTGATGTAATTCTTTAACATAAAGTGGAGACAAAATAAGCCTTCTGAAAGGTCCCAAGTCGCAAGAATCACTGTTCTCATTGCACATACTACTATGACAATCAACATGAACCAAACGCTGACACCATAAGCAGCACCATATAGGGGACCCGCCAAGGAAAGATCCACTGCATGGCTCCTCACAGTACCTACAAAAAGAAGCCTCAAATGGTTGATCAGCAACTTCTGTCCACCGCACTGCCCACTGATGCACTACATGCTGATATCCAATCATAGACACACACTTGCAATCCTTTTGAGCACTTGATGAACAACTCAGATGAGCTGCTGCACCACAAATGCTGCACCTATTAAAAACACACTCTGAAGTAACCATAGGACCAAGCGTTTGTGAGAGAGAAATCGACTTTAAACATACGAAACAGTTCAGATTTTTCCCTCTAGAGACATCCTTCAGCTCCCAACTGTGTGGAGCAGCAGGAACTTTGTGTCTTGCTTTCGGGTGTTTCTTTGACCTAGCAATGGCTTTCATCCATCCCCAGTTTATATTCCTTCTCCATTGAAAAGCAGTGTAAAAAATCGTCAAAATCCCTACTAAACCTGCGACCATGCAGGACAAAATGAAAAGCCTGGATTCTGCCATTTCTGGTGGATCCATAACAATCCAACTCTGAAACAGAGATTCATGTTCTCGAATGTCTTCCATTTCTCTGTACTTCTATCAGCTGCACATTCTATACGCAAAAGCAAGTGTAAGTGAATGGAAATATTTTTGCATCTTCATTACTACACCATCCTACTCATAAACCTCCGAGCGGGGGATGAACAAGGAGAGACAACCACTCCCAACTTACCTGCAAAACAAAATAACATCACTACGGAAATGAATGACTGGAGATCATGCCCTACCATAAATATAACCTCATTTACCCTACTTTTTTTGCTTCCATTTCGAAATCCTCGAAGCATAATAGGAAAAATTAGATAACAACACATGAGAAAGCAATCATTAATTAATGTGGTCATCAACGCCAATGCCAAACACAAATATCAACCCATGGAAAGAGTAGGTCAAAGCCAAAACCCACCTCAAGAGGGATTCGATAATCTGTCGGTGGGAAATCCTTGCACAAAGGTGGAAAGCGCGCGAAATCGAGGGAGGAATATATGTTTTCTCTTGAAAATGGAGACACTGAAATAGGAATAGAGAAAAACGATGAATTTTGGTTGAAAGCTGAACTTCAATCACAACAATTCTAGAGATTCTATACGCTGGATGAGCATCCAGGGAAAATAGAGTTGGGAGATTCCCTCTACAGCACGTGTAGGGCGCGTGGGGTCCTTTATTATTAGTTTACCCCAAATGACTAAATTAAATGCATTTAATTATGGAAACTTCTATTTATATGCCCTCGGCCCCACAAATTGTATCGTACAACCGGTTGTACCATGCGCACGGTACACCTGAGCTTTTAGTTCGTAGGTCGGAGATCGTTGACTTCCATCGCAATTTGAAGTTCGTTTACGCTGCTCGTCCTTCGCTCGTCGTCGTACACGGATAACGACTCACCACTCGCAATTAGGGGTGTGCACTATCCGGTTTAAACCGGAAAACCGGACCGAAACGGGCCGGAAAAATTGGAACCGGATCGAACCGGATTGATATCCGGTCCGGTTTTCGGTTATGAAAATTTAAGAAACCGGTTTCCGGTCCGGTTCCGGTTTAAAACAGGATTATTCTAGATTTAACCGGTTTTGCGATATTTTTAAAAATATACTCCCTCCGGTCCTAAATAAAGTTCAATGTTTGACTTCACACAAATTAAGGAAATAAATGTGACTTTACTGTAGAGTACATTGTAGTGACACTGTTTGGCACTGTTTGGCACTATTTTGCACTGTTTTGCACTGTTTTGATGTAGATAATTTGCCGAATAAGGAAGGGAGAAGAAGTGTGAACTTTATTTTGGACCGACCCAAAAAGGAAAGTGTGAACTTTATTTAGAACCGGGGGGAGTATTTACTAATACTAATATAATAATAGTTATAAAATAAAAAATAATACTCCATACTAATAACAATATATAATAGCAATCAATTTCATAATGATTATAAGATATATATCCTAATATTATATTTATCCATTCGATTTTATTCTCGTAATAATAAAAATAACTAATATATATTATTCTAGTCTCAAGTTACTCCAATATTTGCTCACTAAAATTAATTAAAATGAGCTTAGAAAACAAAAATAATAAAAGTAATATTTTTAATAATAAGTACTCCATCTTTATCAAATTATTAGTAGCTTTTTTAGTAAAGAAAAAAATTATTTATTCCATATTTAGAAACCGTTTTTTCCAGTCCGGTTCCGGTTTTGAACCGGATAAACCGGTTCGGTTCCGGATAAAAAACGGAATACATCTGGTTCGGTTTTCGGTTTCCATATCATGGCAAATCCGGTTCCGGTTCCGATCTGGTTCGGTCCGGTACGGTTTTGAACCGGTGCGTCTCCTCCCTCTCTTTTTCTTTTGGACTCTTTTCCTTTTTCTCTTTTTCTTATGCATGTTTGATGAGTGAGTTTGGTCACTTGTTGGCTCAAGTTAGGAGAAGCCTAAGTTATACGTAGTTCTTCAAATATGACCATACACAAATAAAATTAGGGAAAATTGTCGAATAGGTCCTTCTACTATACAAAAAAAAGTCAATTAGATCCTTGTACTTTGAATTCGATCAATTGAACCCTCCAACTAATAAAAAACAGTCAATTGAGCAGTTCAACCGGTAAGGAACAAGTCTTCCGGTTAACCTGCCTACGTGGAATGTCCAGTTGGATATTTTTTTTTTCTTTTTTTTCTTTTTTTTCTTTTTTTTTTCACTCCCACCCACCTGCTCTCTCTCTCACTCAGGTTTCTTCTTCCACCCCAACCCCCCTGAGCTTTTTTTCGGTGGACTTAATTCATGAATATGACATTATTTAGGCAGTCTTGACCATCCCAGAGTCATACAAAGTTCTGGTGGGCATGATCCAGTCATCCATCTCCTTGATTGAAAATAAACTCCGACGGTGAACTGGTGCTTTTGGCTACCCTTCCACTATCCTACTTTCTAAGATATTAACACAGAAAAAATTATATTAACCCATCAAATAACCTAGACTCATAAATATAATATCAAAAATAAGGATTAATGGTACAGAAGTAAATTCAAAAACAAAATATAAATGACAGAAAGAGGTTTACCTTTATCTTCTATAAATGTCAACCAAATCCGCAATAAGATCTTTAGTTAGAATGCCTAAACCTGGATTGAGTAGAAATCAATAAATTGTAAAGTTTGAGTCAATTATAATCTAAGCCAGTAAATTGTTTTTACTACCTCACATCACTATATATTGGTCTGTGATAATTAAAATTAATGAAATGGGAAAATTGAAAGAGAGAATAAAACAAAGCATAATTTATAATGAGTGCAATTAATTACCAAAGAGTAAACATGGATGCATGAAAATCATGAGAAGATGATGCAAGAAGAACAGAACATGAAACACTTTGAAATGGATGAACGGTTAATTGCCCGGTGTAAAGCTAAGGGTGGTAACAATAAACTTCAATACTAAATAACCTGGATAAGTTTATCCTGCTTCAGCAAAAACTCATTGAGGTTACTTTGACTACAAAAGCAGTACTTCAAATTAAATTTATCAAAACAGTGAAAGGTACTCTTGTCAGTATGGACATCCAATAGGTCATCATTGAAGTCAGACCAGTTTGATTCAATCCATGGAAGTTTTGACAAGTGGTGCACGTGGAGCCAACAAAATTAGAAGGAAACTACTTATCTTAAGGTATCTAGAATAGAACAGTAGAACACATAATAGTTGTTTCTTGGATAAGCTACAAATTTGGTATTAAATTGGCATTACGAAATTGACGCTCAAAGTAGAGAAATTGCCTTCCTGATTTTATAGGCAAATAAACACAAATACTGAGTCACTTAAGAGATACTACCTCCGTCCCATTTGAAGGTTCTCATCCACTATTCACATGGTCAACTTAAATCATTTTTAATCCTTTACTTCATAAATCAATTTCTTATCAAATTTACATTTTTTTATCAGGTTTTGTAGCGGCTTTAATGTAGTTTCTGAATATGTAAATTTTATTTACTAAAAATAATCAGTGTGAACAGGGATTAGGTTACTTTATCGTCAGTCAAGCATCGTAAACCGCCAACGGCAACCTTTTAGCGGGACGGAGGGAGTACTATCGTATTATTTAAGATACAATTGCAATGAGAAAAAATATTAAAACCTTCCCGGTACAGTTTTCAGTTATTAAAAGTGTTCTTATTTTGCCTTGATTTTCAGCAAATTAAATGCGTCACATTTTGCATAAAACTACTCTAAAACCTTCCCTAAAATATTGGCAATCAGAACACAAAGCAGATTTGTGAAATAAGTTTATTTGAAAACTATATATCCAATATATCTAACTAAAATCAAATATACTGAAAAACTTTGAAACTCAAGCTTGATCGAATAAAACAACAAAAGTGGAACTGCAAAACTTACCAAGTTCGTTTGAAAACAACCGTTCTTTCCTTTGATTCACAGTGTTTCTTTACTCACCAGAGGGAGGAAGCAATTGTCTTGGTTTTGCAAAATAGCTTCATCATGAATTGCTTTTACCTAATAACATCACCTAAGAAAAAAGGATGAAACAACGATTATATATATTACCTAATGCAATATCTAATATCAAGGATGGAAATTAATAATGTAGAAAGAAATACTTGATTGAGGAATTTTAGCAGACACCTTCCTTACACCTTCCTTACAAAATTGTAAGAACGTTCAAAGTGATATACACCTAACAAATTGGAATTCAGTTTAAAATAAAAGATGGATTATATGATTAAGAAGAATAGTTTACCTCAGCTCGGTTTGAATCGAATGGACTTCGGATGATTCTAGCAGAAGAAGAACAAATGAAGCATCAAAGCAAAGGTACAAGACAACACACTTGCTCTTGCTGAGGTCTGCAACAGATATTACCCTGTTCTTTTGGCTACTGCCATCACATTTGTGCAGGAGCGTTGAGGATTCGCAGCACAAGAGTTCCTCCAGGGTCACAGGTTCAGTGCTGATTTCATCTTCTACAGCGCCCTTGTAAAGAGGACCCAACCTCTACCTCCTCGACATCTCCTGGCCGTCGAGTTTTGATTGCCTGTAAACTGGATCCAACCTCATCCTGATTTCCTCGACTTTTTTCTTAAGGGAGTCCAAGTGGCTATCAGTGAAAGGGAAGGACGCAGCTCCATAATTCTCGAAACACAAAGTATCTGACTGCAAAACCCTTTGTTCAGGATCGAGAACAAGACAAGCATCACTTTCAGTCAACCTCGAACTTTCTAACCCGAGAAGCTTGCAAATCGAATCCCTGGTGGAGGAGTCAGAAAAGGGTACAGCCAGGCAAGGAAACGCAGATAAAAACCAGTCGAAAGCAGGTTCCTCCTGGTCCTTGGAGATAAATGAGGATCTCATCTTAGCTACCACCACCATCTCAAAATTCAAGTTATTGTTCTGCAACTCATTGTAAGTTGCTATCAAGTGGCGGCATACACGGTCAGAACAGTCATTAGCAAACATAGGCACGAAGAAGCAACAAACAACCAAATACTTAACGGAAATCGCATCCATTAAACCAACTCTTTCCCCATTGTTACGGACAAGGGAATTTGTCTTACCACCATTTGATAGCAAAGATAACACATCAACGGGCAATTTCTCGCCTTTCTTAATATTAAGAGGCTCGTTCTCCTCCATAAATATTTCTTCCGGAAACTCAAAAAAGACATGCGGTTCACCAATAGTTAAATCACTTTTGATGGTATTTGTTGGATAAGGAAAATAATTTTCGTAGTCGAATAGCGAATAGGGGCGTCTTGGTCTCTTAAGCTTTGTTACGCAGCTGCAGGAGTTGGTGCTGCATCTCTTCAAAGTCCAACCCTCCTCCTTTTCGCGGCTGCTCCAACCCTCCTCCTTTTCACCGCTACTGCATCTCTTCAACGCCCCACTCTCCTCATTTTCACCGCCACTGCATCTCTTCCTCGTTTCCTCCTTAAGATCCATCATATCATCTACTTATGGCAATTGCTGCCGGAAGTATATATATGAACACAAGGTATGGTACTAGGTTTTTATAAACGGCTGTTCTCTGCACAAGTTTTAGGCGCACCCACTTTTTTTCTAATCGGACAACTTTGTCCTTTGCGTAATTGGAAAATTTCAGACAATGAAACTATGAGTAAAACAAATGCTCCTTAATTACTTTGTAGTACGTAATGGGTATGTATTCATGTTTTTGTTAAATTATTACCCCGTATTCATGGAAACAGTTTTACTAAAATAAATGGTTTTTGTATTACTTAACTTAAATGTATTGAACAGATACTATTAATTCAACCTTACTTGTTTTGATTATTATACAATTCAACACATAAAATCAATATTTATATTTTTGTAAAAAATTATTTACAAGATTGATAGTATAAAAATAGGGGTTATCAAACGGCTTTTAACAATTAGAGCCCGCTTGATAATACCAAATTCGATTGTGCTGAAATTTATGAATTCTAGCTAAAGTGGCTGATTCGACTTATGAAAACATTATGTTTAAAATATATTTTATTAATCGATTAAAGAAAACATTATATCAATAATAACAAAAATAATCATCTAGAGTAACTTCAGCCAAGACAGACCCAAAGTAACTTCAACCTTGCTTTTTCTTATCATTACAGTATTCAACACGCGAAGTCAAAAACTACGTGTTGGGTAAAAAAGTAGACTAATAAGCCTGCTAAAACGAAAAACAGAGTCACCAAACAGGCTCTTAATTCTTATCATATGATACACTTCCATAAAGTTAATGAATTATTTCTTCAAATCTCTACCCTCTTTAACGGTAGTAAATCAATTGTCTTTAATTTTCATTTTTCTTGACTTATTTTGAAGGGAATACATGTATATTTTTAACATATGCATTATTATCTAAAAAATGTTTAATTTGATACTTTTTTGTAAAACTCAAAACACAAATGAAAAAGTAATACTGGTAATATTTTATAATAGAGAGTTCATGGTCACATCGTAATTTGAGCATAAATTTTGAGGGATCCGCTTAGCAAAATCATAGTACATTTTTTTAAGGGGATTCAATTACCACATGGAAATTGGAAGGGATCACTTCTTTTAATTAAAAAAATTCGGAAGGGTAAAATAGCCAAACTAAGGTTACATTAAGTAATCTAAGGGGTGCGCCTAGCATCACCCCCTTGATAAATTAAGATCGGTCGGTGTTAAGGGGGAGCTAGGCCCCATACTTGAGGGAATTTTTATCGAAAAGGGCCGAAAAAGGTTGAGTATTTTGAATCTACCCGGTCTTCTATTACATTATTAGGAAAGAGTGTAATTACATAAGAACAGAAGCTAGGGTACTGGGTTTTGATAAATTAAGATCAGTCGGTGTTAAGGGGGAGCCAGGCCCCATACTTAAGTATATATGCAAGTCAAGCTCGTTGAGGCTTGTTTGGATTAAGTGTTTACAAGGGTGTTTGTAATCGAAGTGTTAATAAGTGTTAGGAGGTATCCGAAAGGGAAGGTAAGTGTAAAACATAAACTTACCATGTTTGGGAGAGTTAAAAAAATGAGGTGTATCTTAAACTGTATCTTAAAGTTCTAATCCTCCTACATGATCTAAATCTAAATAAAATTTTATAAATGTCAATGAGGGTTAAAGCCCTTTTTGGAATAAAATTTATTCATTGTACTCGTGAGCTGATTGTCCATTTCCCTTAAATAAAAGACTGACGTGGTGTATCCTATTGTGTATCTCCGTTAAAAACTGGCACTCGGCCTTCCCCATTCTTTCACTCCCAATTCAGCAAGCCTCATAGCCTTACCAATAGCAAATTCGCATTTCGCAATTCCCAATTCACAAAACTCATATGATCTAAGTCGGACTGCAAAGTTGTAAACTGCATCCAGGCCAGGGGATTCGACTCATTCAAGGTTCAATCAATCCGAGCATCTTCCATTCTTCCGTAGCCGACAACTCCATCACCGCTGGCGCTGGTCTTCACATCATCTTCCATTTATGCTCTTCGACCTTCGCCAGTTCATCTCAAACATTCAGAATTTCAAAGGTAGGTTTCGTAATTTCTAAGTTTCTTAATTGTTTAGGTTTACAACATTATTTTACTGTTTAACTCTTTATTAGTATGACTTTGAATGATTTTTCACTTTTAATATCATTATTACATTATTAGTATCTCTACAATGAAGAGTGGGTTAAAGAGATACTATAATCGTATGGCCTAGATGCAGTCTGATACTTTCCGATGTTAGATCATCTATTCCATCTTCACGTGAAAGTATAACCTGTGTTGAAATGAAATTCCACGTAGCCTGCTTGCAATGCACACATGCCAGATGCGGAGTATATCCCAAAAATCATGTGAACTGCTTAGCCATATGCATCCTTTGTTTTGAGGGGCAGGAGAGTACACATAGTCGGTTTATCACTTTCTCGTTGGCAAGGGAAGTTTGGAGCCGACAAATCTAGGTGTTGGGTGGAGAAGGGAATTTGACACGCCCGTAATGAGAATGTATCGGAAGGGAGTTGTGAGACGAGTGCCCGGGTTCTCTCAGTGGCAACCTTGTTTCTGGAGGGGTGGAGAGCAGCCCAACAACTCCCTATGAAGGAGGTCATATTGCAAATGATAGGAGTGGAAAGTGTAGCAGCAGAGCTTGGGCGGGAGTGATCTTCGGTGGGTTGTACACGGCGACTTGGGGTCTTTTTGTGCAGGTTGAGCGAAGTTTAAAGCGGGGGATCTAGTTCCAAGGGAGGCTGAAGTATTAAGGGAGTGTTTGTGTGCTACTATTTATACTACCAATGGACATTTGGATATGCTGACGTGGAGAGTTGTGGATGGCTGAGCTGTGGATGGCTAAAGCCCCAACCACCAAATCCCCGACATTAAATGCGCTTCCCGCCAGAATCTTGGTTTCCCGCCCAATTATGGGGACGAGCGTCCCCTTGGGACTGGTGTCTGCTCTTGGTAACGCTGCAAAGGGCTGTGGGTCGAGCGTCATCGAGCCCTTATGTAGAATACGTTGATTGGGTCTTGGACTGATCCCCTCTGCGGCGTGGGCTAGGGGTGATGTCGTGCGTCTCCCTATCCTTGGATCTTGAGACATGATTACACATGTCTTGTATGGACGTTCGTCTTGCATGTTGACCTTGTTAGGCCCAGACATTCGTCCGTAGAAGGGCTTAATGGGCCGATCCTCTAATTGGGCCAGTAACCCAACAAAAGTCCCTCACTTCTGATGTTACAAGTGTGCGTGGGACATAAGGAAGTAAAAAGTTGTCTTCGTTGTACCGCAGTAGGGAGACGTTCCTGATGTGCGTGAAGCCAAGGTGAAGAGGTTTCCCCCGTTGAGTTGTGGGTAATTCTGATGGTTTGAAGCCTTGTACATGATAGTTAGCTAGAGAGGGATCGTTGTCGGGTTGATAAATGGTGTGTAGTTTAGAAACAGAGGGGTCATCTAACCATTCTTCGTGGGAACATCTTTGAATACGTAAATACTGTATGGAAAACGAATGGAAAGTGAGTATATACTATTGGACCTTTTAGGGAAGGGGGCAGAGATGAAATCTTCTTGATTACAAGCTGCTTCATCACCTTCTGAAATGGAAGCCTCATTGGTCTCTTCATCGCATCATTGGTCTCTTCAAGTTTGTCCCTTTTTCTCTTCATTGTATTACTGAAACAAGAACGAATAGCAATAACACTAGTTTTATCAGAAGAAGGAAGATGAAGAATATAGACTGAGAGAAAGGCGAAGAAGAGAAATCTTGAGAAAATAATACTTTGCCTATTCGATTAGAGGGCTGGTTCAATTTAGGGTTAAAACCGGTTCGGTTCAGTTTTGGAAATAATAGGTTCAATTTGTTTTGATTTGTTTCAAGTTCATATGTTTAGTATTTTATTTGACATGTTTCATACGTAGTATTTTAGAATTAAAAAATGAAAAATAGTAATCCATTCATCTTGTTATATTTATTACTTAAATATAATTTAAATGGGAAATAAAAGATATAAAAAGAAACTATAAAATATTATAAATTGACACCTAATTTATCTTACTTAAGATTTATGACATGAAAACCTCTCACAAAAATAATTTATAGTTAATTACTACTTCCGTCTCACTATTATTGTCTCATTGCGGTTTACGATGTTTGACCGACGATAAAGCAAACAGATCCCTGTCTGCACTCAAATTATTTTTAGCAAAAAAATTACATATTCGGAAACTACATTAAAAACTTTACAAAGTCGCAAAAACCAAAATCAAATTTGATAAAAATTTGATGTATAAAGTAAGAGATTAAAAGTGATTTGTGTTGACCAAGTAAACACGAACTGTGACATAATAGTGGGACAAAGGGAGTATCATTTATATATCACATAAAATATTTAAAGAAGGTTAAAATGGTATATGTTAAACATGTATTTTTCACATCTAAATTATTTATTTATATCCTAACGATTAAGAGTGAAGACAAATAGAAAGTATTTTTAATAAATACTACAAGTTGTTTGTTGTTCGATTCAATTTACAATTTTTTGATTTGGTTGAAGTCCGATTTGTTTGATTTGGTTTTAAATTAAAAAATTGTAAATTGAATCGAACAACGAACAACTTGTAGTATTTATTAAAAATACTTTCTATTTGTCTTCACTCTTCATCGTTAGGATATAAATAAATAATTTAGATGTGAAAAATACATGTTTAACATATACCATTTTAACCTTCTTTAAATATTTTATGTGATATATAAATGATACTCCCTCCGTCCCACTATTATTGTCCCAGTTCATGTTTACTTGGTCAACACAAATCACTTTTAATCTCTTACTTTATACATCAAATTTTTATCAAATTTGATTTTGGTTTTTGCGACGTTATAAAGTTTTTAATGTAGTTTCCAAATATGTAATTTTTTTGCTAAAAATAATTTGAGTGCAAACAAGGATCTATTTGCTTTATCGTCGGTCAACCATCGTAAACCGCAATGAGACAATAATAGTGGGATGGAAGTAGTAATTGGGGTCGTTTGGATATAAGCTTTTTATCCAAACCGCCGATCCTTTTTACACATGAAACGCTGCATTTAGCAGCGGTTGGGGGGAGAAACCGCCGAAAGGCAAACGATCCCATTAACTATAAATTATTTTTGTGAGAGGTTAATCTCTTTATACTGATTGAAAAGATGTTAGACGTTTTCATGTCATAAGTCTTCAGTAAGATAAATTAGGTGTCAATTTATAATATTTTATAGTTTTTTTTTATATCTTTTATTTCCCATTTAAATTATATTTAAGTAATAAATATAACAAGATGAATGATTATTATTTTTCATTTTCTAATTCTAAAATAATACGTATGAAACTTGATCAAATAAAATAATAAACATATGAACTTGAAACAAATCAAAACAAATTGAACCTAATATTTCCAAAACTGAACCAAACCGGTTTTAACCCTAAATTGAACCCGCCCCCTCTAATCGAATAGGCAAAGTATTATTTTCTCAGGATTTCTCTTCTTCGCCTTTCTCAGTCTGATATTCTTCATCTTCCTTCTTCTGATAAAACTAGTGTTATTGCTATTCGTTCTTGTTTCAGTAATACAATGAAGAGAAAAAGGGACAGACTTGAAGAGACCAATGAGGGCGATGAAGAGACCAATGAGGCTTCCATTTCAGAAGGCGATGAAGCAGCTTGTAATCAAGAAGATTTCATCTCTGCCCCTTCCCTAAAAGGTCCAATAGCATATACTCACTTTCCATTCATTTTCCATACAGTATTTACGTATTGAAGGATGTTCCCACTGAAGAATGGTTAGATGACCCCTCTGTTTCTAAACTACACATCATTTATCAACCTGACAAAGATCCCTCTCTAGCTAACTATCATGTACAAGGCTTCAAACCATCAGACTTACCCACAACTCTCCGTCACCAACTGTATAAATACATGGCTCACAGAAAGATCCCATTTAAAAAAATGAAAGGTATAATTAGCAGAAACTTTTTGTCCCACATTTTTTCAAACAGCGTTGGATTTGTTTCATAGAGTGGGAGGGGAGGGGATATTGGCTTATCTCCAGAAAGAATGTAGAAATGACAACCCCATTCCCTCTAAACAGTATCCCGATTTCATTGGTGTTAAGGCATTTTCTGTCCAAGTGATCTTAATGAGATATTTTGAGGAACGGGTCGACATTGTTGTTAAGCCGATTTTGAAGGTAGAGAAGAAAGGGAAGGGGAAGGATGTTAAAGTAGAAAGTAAGAAACAAATGAGAAAGAGAAGAAAAACTGAGAGGAAAATGAAGCGGAAAGGCTTGAGGATGGAAGAAACGGACGTAGAATATATATTAAAAGAAGTCTTAGTAGAGTTTGATTTTGAAACCCGAAAAATCTGTGAGGAATACACTCAAGGCTGGATAAAAAGGGCAGAAGATCGTCACAGAAAAGGAGATTTTTTAGTTTTTTTCCACTCGGGTGCATGTGATGGTGCTGGTGGGAGCGGGACTACTGGCACTGGTGGGAGTGAAAATGGGGGTGCTGGTGGGAGGGGAAGTGGTGGGACTGGAAGTGGAAATAGGGGTGGTGCTAGTGGCAGTGGGGCGGTGGTGGGGGTGGTGCGAGCGGGAGCGGAAGCGGTGGGAGGGGAGAACGTGGCAGGGGTCAGAGGGGAAGAGGCAGTTGGCCTAGGTTGGAGGGGCAAAGGCAGAAAACCCTCGCTGGCTTGAGGCGTATAGATTTGGAAGGTCTGCGTTGGAGAGTTTTTTATGCCAAAGGCCAGGTGAGGACCTTTATGATCTTTTTTATAGCATAAAGCTCATAATTCTTGCCATAAATGTAGCCTCTGTGTGCCTACATGTATGTATGTATGTATATATGTGTTTTTTTTAAGCCTGGGCTTGTGCCTACTTATATTAGAGTTGCTTGGTGAGGATTTTAGAATGATGAATTGAAGCAGAATGCATATCTAATTTTTGTTGAAGGTTAAAGTGTCAGATTAACATGGTCATTTGAATATATTCCATAGTATGAGTTGCCCTCACATTTAAGCAAGGTGGAATGATTTGTAATACTTATTCCATTGTTGATGCTTTTTCTCAGCCTCCTTAACCTGCCCACAATGAACCAGCCATTTGTTATATCATGTTGGGCTATTTTTTCACCCCCACCCTGAGCCAGGTACCAAAAGGTTTCTCTAATAATCTTTCCCCTTTCTCATACTCCAAGGGACAAAACCCGTCGACTTGTCCGATAACTCTACACACGAAGCAAAAGCTCGACAATTTTTCATATTTGAAATCTACCGAGTAACCCGTCCCCTTCCTATAGTCGTACAAGGTTTTAGGGGCTCACCAACATCTAAGCCCACCCTTATACGCATATAGGTCTCCCATTTTCCTTCAAACTGACTCTAATCCATAGTAATAAAATCCCCAATTAGACTACCAATTCTTCTAGCCACTTCCAATGTCATAAAACCATGTGTCACATTATGCACTTGATTCCAGAAATCAGTTATATTCAACGGAACCCTAAGAGGAATATCCCCTGGCTTGATGGTCCTAAGAACTAACAATCTTTTATCAAATAATCACGGACCGTTCTCCAGGACACAATTCATATCAATTATATGATAAAAGGTGAAAATGTAACTCTTCTCCCTGATGTTCTTATGGATAGTCCACGCCCTGGACACGAAATAGTAGCCATCAGCTCTCAAAAGAACTTGGAATTTAACCATTATGTTAGTGAGGATCGTTCTGATCACGGGAAATACCTCCGATGCACCCTAAGAGTCGTTCTTCCGTTTCTCCTCCAATGTCCAGGTTATCATACTGGTTGGCTAACTTTTTCATGGCATCGCCCCTGACCCTAGCGACAGACTGTTCAAATGAACTATAGTCGATATCCTCTGGCCGCTCAAAATCGCATGACGATTTGCAGAAGAAACTACCTAGGGACAAACCCTAGAGGCGGCCACATTAGTTCTACTTTTATCTTTTGAAAAGATGATAGTATGCTTTTTGAAAATATAACATATATCACTAACAGAGTTTCACTGGACAAAAAATATGCCTAGTTATATCATTTGAATAAAAATATGATTAGTCACTATGTGCGAGTAAATGAACAAGAAATATTACAAGTCAATGACAGATCATGAATCACCGAAAACCATTCATCAAATTTGTCACTTTTTGGAAAGTTTCATTGAAATTTTTATTTTTGAATTTAGTTTAATAATATTTACGAAATAAGACTTCATTAATTTTTTGTCATTATCTGAAAACAAACAAATACAGAAATGAATAAAAAACAAAAGGATATAGATTTGTGTTCGTCCCCAGTTCAGCCTGGTTGCTTCATCTCGGTTTGTCTCTTCTTTCTCCTTCACAATTCACCTGTACGTAGGTGGTGCGTGGCTTTGTTTTCAAGCATTAATATCCTTCGAAATATCTGGTGAAGATCAACCATCCAAAGGAAAAATTTCCAATATAAATAGTTATACATGTATATGCTTCAAAATCATATATCGTGATTACTTCCGACGGGAGCTTTCACTGAGATGAATTTTATTTTCGAAGTGGGGAAGAACGTGAGTATGCCTGTGAGTGATCATCACACACTGATGCAAACTTTGTGGTTTTGTATATCTTTATATTTCTGTCGTATGTTTGCTTTTGGGGGTCTGGGATCAAGCTTTTCCATGGAGTATTGAACGGGGACTCGCCATAAGGGAGAGTGAGTCGGCTACTTGGTGACTGTATTTAGATGTGAAAGTTAATGATGTGATATGTTTATAGATCATCTGTCTGCTTTTAAGTAAACCACTTAATTCGTTTGAATATCCTACTTTTTCTGTTGAAACTTGAAATTCATTTCGCTTTAAAACTTCTAGCTTACGTTGCGTCCAAATCATTTGGTCTGGCTCACTGCAAATGAAAAAACTGATGTTCAGTAAGTTTCAGCATCAGTTCTAAAAATCCATGACTTGAGTCATTTCATGCCCTGAATTTAAAGATGAATGTTTCATGTTTGCAGTCTGTTGGTCAAAATGACACCTGTTTGCCCTTTCACTAGGGCTGCTCAACCTGGCGAAATATCCATTCAGAAACCCAATGAAAGTCAAAATGAACAGCTAGACGGCCTTGAAAACAAGCCCATTAAGGAATCTGGGGAGCCAGCTATAATGCCATCCAAATGCCTATTTGGGCATAAACAGCAGGATGGAAGTGAAAACGATCATAAGCAAGAGCCAGGGGTGCATGGAGCGGTGTCATCCAAATACCCCTCCGGACATACACGTAAAGCTAGCAATGAAAAAAAATCTAAACAGGAGGCCGGAGCTGGTATTGTTTTACCAAAATGCCCCCTTGGATTTGTTCTACAAGGACTCAATAATCGATAGCAAATAGATATAAATATACAAGTATGTAAATCCTGTAATGGTGCTTTGCGCACCCGTCACTCAACCTAACTTCTAAATACTCTTCTTGAACATTTTATGCTAAGTTGATGCTCACCTTGTGCTTGTGCAAGCAACTTCAAATATTTCTAAAAGTTTCTTTTGTATGTTAAATATTAAAAAATATGTGTTATTAATTAAAAGTATTAATATACTTGGAAATAGAAATAAAACTAAAACAAACTCAAGAACTGTAATAGTAGTTTTTAACTTTTGAAAACAAGTAGCTTAATACTTTTTTTGCCTTTTATTACTCAAAACATGTACCATAAACGCATAAAAGAACAATCCAAATATTATTACTAGAATTTCAAAGGACAAAAAATAATACTCGTACTCTGTAATTTAAATAATTCCCGAATCTCGGGCTCTAAGCCAGTCTCAATAGATATCTTCCGGTCAGAGGGATCATCCAGCTCCACTTCCTCAAGCAGGGTCGCCGGCTCTGGTTGGGATATAGCATCCTCCCACCGAGCGGTTTCTGCGATGTTGTTAACCCTCATGTCCCGCTCAGTCATCTTCTTCACGGTCTCCTTGTAGCAGGCCCTCGCTGTGTCTGGGTCCGTACGGGTCACTCCTACCCCAGTCTCCGTGGGGAATTTCATACAGGAATGCCGTACGGAGCAGATGGCTTCCAGGTCCTCCAACCCGGGTCTCCCCAAAATAGCATTATGGGCACATTTCAGCCGCACCACCACGAATGTCATGGGGATCGCCGCCCGGTGTTGGCCGTCCCCAATCTCCACCGGTAGGACGATTGTCCCCTCGGCATCTATACTTTGACCGGTAAATCCGGCCAAGGGTGTCTGTAAGGGGCTCAGATCGGCCCTGCTCAGATGCATTTTTTCAAACACGTCCCAATACAGGACATTAACACTGCTGCCCGTATCGACCAAGATTTGTCGGATGATCCACTTCCGGATATCCATGCTGACCACCAGCTCATCTCTGTGGGGTCCTGGTGATCATGGTGAGTACACCGGCCCGAATGTGATGGGCTTCCGGATATCATTGTGTTGTACTTCTGATTTCACTCCGAACTCATGTATGATATGTACTTTCCGACCGGTAGCGCCGATGAATAAAATGTGGCGTTTCATTGCTATGAGCGTCTTCCATTCCTTGTGTATGTTTCATGTGTCTCATGTGTATGTTTTATGTACTTCTTGTTCCTTTTTGTCCGTTCGTCGTAACTGCACTTAAGCCCGGTACTCGGATCCTGGGCTTGAGCTGGTTCAATCGGTTTGATTAGGGACGGCTTTTTCCCTTTTGTTTGATCCTTCTTAGGATCCTTCGCTTTTGACCCTTCATCTGATCGTCGCATTCACTTGGCGAGGAACGGTTTCTTCCCTCGGACTCCTTTTATTTGATCCATCTTGGGATTCTTTTGTTTGATCCATCTTGGGACTCTTTTGTTTGTTCGTTCCGCCATATGCCCGTCTTACCTGCCCATTTGACCCGGTCCTTTGGATCATGAGCTGGGCTCGGCCGCGATTGTGATGAGGAACGGGTTTATCTCCTTTGGAGATTCCCCAGTGCCCCTCATTTTTTAGGGGTCTTTGAGTATGACGGTGGCACCGTACGATGGTCGGTGCCATCCTTAGTTTAAAAAAGCGCGTCTGAGGCGCACAAAGGCGCCTGGCGCATATAGGCGCTAGGTTCATCGCAATTTACTTACCAAGGCGGCGCAGGTTTCTAGAGGCGATCACCTTTCTTGCTTAAGCGCGCCTTTTGCGCTTCTAAGAGGCGAGCGTAATTGACGCCTCAGGGAAGTAAGCTCCTTACTCCTCACTCCTCTCTAGTCTTCTTCTTCGTTTCTGCCTTCTTCCTTTGGTCTTCCGATATATCTGGCGTAGCTCTGAGCCTCTGAGTCTTCCGACTTAACTTGTGTTGCGCTGCTATCTCGCGTCGCAGGTAAGTGTTTACCTTTTTTGTCTTCTGCTATTTATTTTATTCTATTTTAAGTTGTTATATTTATAAAAATACTACGTATTAAAATTATTTAAATAAAAGTTAGGTAACTGGTATAGTATTATCTTTCGCTATTTATAAGTTTTGATAGATAACTGAAAAAAAGTTAAGTATTTTAAGTTTTTATATTTACAAAATTATTTAAATTATTTAAATTTACAAATCTGTCTGTGATTCTTTTTACAGAATTGTATTTATGTGATAGTTTATTAATTAAATATGTATTATTTTATACTCCGTAGTATATTCCGTAACAATGATAATATCATAATACTATATCATATACTCTGTATATTGTAGTGTTAGAACACTGATTTATTAACTATGTATTGCATAAAATGACAGATTTTATTTTTAAGATTTTTTAACAATTTTTATATGACAGTTTATTACATTAATTATTTAAATTACTATTAACAGTTTTTATATAACTTAATTGTTCAATTTATCACAAAATGACTATTAATTGTTTATGAAGGAAATGTTTGCTACTCTCGATAATGAGGATGATGACAGTGATGAATTCTAGGCCTAGATTTCACAATTGTGCTTGCGAGTTTGCTACTTTGCTTTTTTGTTATGTTTTGAAGTTTTAAGATTGAGTTTGTAACTTGACTTTTGGCAATTATGCCTTTAAACATATATTTCTTGCTTTTGTCTTATTATCTTTAATGAATATTATGTTTCTCTTATGATGTTTATTAAGATTGTTTAATAGTTTGAAGTATTTTTGAGAAGAGTGCTTCATGTAGAAGTACTAAAAATATATTTCACCAAAGAAATGTGGGTGAGATCCGTGAGGCGCTTGCCTCACCGCCTAGGACCTCGCGCCTCGGGTAAATCAATGAAATCGCCTCAAGCCGCCTCGTGCCTTTTAAAACTAAGGTGCCATCCCAGATTCTCCTCTGGGAGGCTCGTAGCATTCCGGTGATGATAAAGTACAACAATGATTTTAGCGTGGAAACCCGGAGGGAAAAACCACAGGACTTTTTAGGCTAATGTCCAAGCCCGCTCGTTCTCATTAACTTCCTGTTATTACATTGTACAATCCGAGCGTCTCTTCCTCTCCCCCTCCTCTTCCCCTCTTTTTTTTTGAGGGGGACACTACTGGTAGAATTTCCTCAAGTGCTCGACATTCCATATGCCAGCAGGGCGTCCCTCCAAGATTTGAAGGAGGAACGTCATCGCTGCCAATCGTTTCTCGTAGACCCTGTACGGCCATTCCCAGTTTTTGGCCATTTTGACGCCCTCGAGCGACTTGCTCTTTTCTCGCTTCCGCAGCACCAAATCTCTAACTTTGATTTCTCTTACTTTAACTGCCTTGTTGAAATATCTCTCGGTTGCCCGATGGTATTCCTCCATGCGTCGTGCTGATAAATCCCTGCTCTCTTCAATGAAGTGCAGCTCAGCCCTTAAATTTTCCTCGTTTCGCTCCGAGTGGAAATGCAACGTCCGGTGCGTGGGCACAAGCACCTCGGTTGGGGAGTTTGGCTTGGAAACCGTATGCCAGGGCAAATGGTGTTTCTCCGATTGCTGTCCTCGGAGTTGTTCTGTATGTCCACAAAATATAATTCAACTACTCCGGCCAGGTTGAGGAGTAATCTTCTAATTTCTTCTTGATACCGTCCATGATGGTACGGTTCATGTTCTCCACCTGATCGTTCGCCTGCGGATATGCAACTGAGGCCTTGGAATGTCTGATTCCCCACTTGGCCAAGTAAGCTTCGAACCCTTTGCCTACGAACTGTCGGGCGTTATCTGTGATGATCTGCTCTGGGATGCCGAAACGGCAAAAGATGTTCTGCTAGATGAAGCGTTAACACTGGAACTCCGTAATATTTTTCAAAGGCTCGACTTCTACCCATTTGGTGAAGTAATCAATGGCTACAATTATAAACTTCTTGTCGCCCGTCGTCCTGGGTAGGGGCCCCAGCAGATCTATCCCCCATCTCGCAAAGGGTAAGGCGACGGTCATCGGGGTATAGAAACTGGCCGGACTCCCAGGCATGGGTTCGTACTG